TTTTTTTATTATAAATTAATTTAAATTTAATAATGAAATAATTTAATTTTGGTTTAATAATATAACATTTTATAAAGATAATAATTAAGTATTATGTTAGAACTCAATGATTATTCTTATTATATTTTAGATTTTTAATATTTAATATAAGATGTTTATCTTGTATTTGATTATGTTTATCTGCAATTAGTTACACGAATTCAGATATGGAGCTTTAATACTTACGCACAATCTACTTGTAATCTTGAGTTTTATGTAATATGCATTAATAAACAGTACTTTACGCATAAAAAGTAGTTTTTAAGAGTTTTTTGTCAAATTCTTTATAATATAGTATAAATTATTTTTTTATAATTTAATTTAAGTTTAATAATGAAATAATTTATTTTTGGTTGAATAACATAACATTTTATAAAGATAATAATTAAGTATTTTATTAGAACTCAATGATTATCTTAATTATATTTTAGATTTTTATATTTAAAATTAGATGTTTATCATGTATTTGATTGTRTTTATCTGCAGTTAGTTATACGAATTCAGATATGAGATGAAATCGAATAGGGATGAAATCTGGTTTAAGAGTTTTTAAGTGTTTTTAAGAGTTTTAAGAGTTTTAGCCAAATGCTTTATAATATAGTATATATATATATATATATATATATATATATATTTCCTAATTTATCTATTGATTTGTGGTTGAGATTGTACCTTACGGTTACTACAAACTAATTAGTTTTCATTTGACTAAGCCCCTATATATATGTATTAAAATTTATCAAACCCCAAATTTATATATTAGGTTTTCTATATTTAAAATGGATGTTTATCTTGTATTTGATTATGTTTATCTGTAATTAGTTATACGAATTTAAAAATGAAGCTTTAATAAGTTGTACTTATATAAAATTATTGTAATATTGAATTTTAAGTAATATCTATACTATATTATAAAGTATTTGACAAAAACTTTTAAAAATCATTTTTTATGCATTAAGTACTGTATATTGATTCATATTACTTAAAATTAATATTACAAGTAATTATGCATAATTACAACTTATTA